ACTTAACATGAGCAGGCAGTGTGCGCTCGCAGCTCAGAAAGCCAACTGTATCCTGGGCTGCATCAAAAGGAGCATGACCAGCAGGTCGGAGGTGATCCTGCCCCTCTGCTATGCTCTTGGGAGACCTCACTTGGAGTATTGCGTACAGTTCTGGTGTCCTCAACATAAAAAGGACATGGAACTGTTGGAACATGTCCAGAGGAGGGCCACAAGGATGATCAGGGGACTGGAGCACCTCCCGTATGAAGACAGGCTGAGTAAGTTGGGAGTGTTCAGCCTGGAGAAGAGAAGGCTGTGTGGAGACCTCATAGCAGCTTTCCAGTATCTGAAGGGGGTCTACAGGGATGCTGGGGAGGGATTCTTCATTAGGGACTGTAGTGATAGGAGAAGGGGGACACCTCACACTAAACCATGTCACCCAAGGCATTCACAACTTCCTTAGGCAACCCATTCCAGTGCCTCACCGCCCTTACAGCAATGAACTTCTTCCTTACATGTAATCTAAACTTCCCCTGTTTAAGCTTGAACCCACTACCCCTAGTAACACCTATGATTTGTGTGAGGCATTTGACTTAGTCCCCCACAACATTGTTCTCTCCGAATTGTAGAGAAATGGATTTAATGGATTTAGTGGGTGGACTGTTTGGTGGAATTTGCTGGATGGTTGGATCCAGAGGGTAGTGGTCAATGGCTCAATGTCTGGATGGATGCCAGTGACAAGTGGTGTCCCTCAGGTGTCCATATTGGGAACAGTAGTGTTTGACACCAAGCTGAGTGGTGTGGTTGATATGCCCAAGGGACAGGATGCCATCCAGAGGGACTTGGACAAGCTTGAGAAGTGGGCCCATGCAAACCTCATAAGGTTCAACAAGGCCAAGTTCTGTACCTGAGTTGGAGCAATCCCTGGGGGATGAATGGATTGAGAGCAGTTCTGTGGACAAGGGCATGGAGGGTACTGGAGGATAAAGGATTGGACATAAGTCAGTAATGTTTGCTTGTAGCCAAGAAAGCACACTGTATCCTGGGCTGCATCAAAAGTAGTTTGGGCTGCAGGTCAAGGGAGGTGATTCTGCCCCTCTACTCTGCTTTGTGAGACCCTGCCTGGAGTACTGCATTCAGCTCTGGAGACCTCAGCATAGGAAAGACATTGATCTATTTGAGTAGGTGCAGAGCAGGGCCACAAAAATTCTCAGAATGATAAGAGAGGACTTGTTTTACTGATTGAAAGCTGAATCAAACTGCCAAGTTGGACTTTAACTAAACAAAGCCATGCATATGTCAAGAAGGAGCAAGATAAAGGGTGAAGAACATTCTTTGCCTCTCCAGCATCTTGAACTAGGAATTATTCCTCACAAAGTGCCTATCCAGCTAACTGACCTGGGAACCATTCCTCACAAAGTTAGAAGAAAATCCAATCTAAGACCATAAAAAGGAAGACGATAGAAGTTCAGCCAAAGGTTGACAAAGATACGACCACCAGGGGTCCCAAAGACCCTTGCGACCCTCACCCATAATAAACTGCACATGCTCTAGCGGGTAATAACCAATGTTAATTAGCTCTGGGAAGAAATTATAATATGTATAAGACTTCTGGTAATTATAATGTGCATGTATGAGATGAATGCTTAGAACAAAAACCTGTAATAATTGGCATGCACGTTAGGCGGAGCTATCACCCCTACGCCTGTGCCGTAATAAATAATGCCTGCTTCTTAAAGCTACATTGGCATTAAGGAGTTTTATTCTCCCAACTTTTGGTGACCAGACGGATACAGCACTTCTATATGGAAAGGCTGAGAGATATGGGCTTGTTCAGCCTTGTTCTGGGTTTAGTAGTAGCAGTCAGTTTTTCTCCTTCTTGGTAGCTGGTGCAGCGCTGTGTTTTGACTTTCAGCCTGGGAACAGTGCTGATAACACCGATGTTTTCAGTTGTTGCTAAGTAATGTTTACCCTGACCAAGGACTTTGTGAGGCTCATGATCTGCCAGGGAGGAGGGGAAGAATCAGAGACAGGACACCTGACCCAAGCTAGCCAAAGAGGTATTCCATACCACAGCACGTCATGCCCGGGTGGGGGGGAGGGGTAACTGGGAGTTTCCTGGAAGGACATGGGGTCTTCTGGGTCTGACTCATCTTTTGGCGGGTGGTATCATATTCTCTTCCCTTGTTATTTTCTCTTATCATTGTTGTCGTTGGTGGTAGCGGTGGTGATTTGTGTTGTACATTGGTTGCTGGACTGTTCTTGTCTCAACCCGTGGGAGTTGCATTCTTTCGATTCTCCTCCCCATCCCTCACAAAGTCCTTGGTCAGAGTAAACATTACTTAGCAACAACTGAAAACATCCGTGTTATCAGCGTTGTTCCCAGGCTGAAAGTCAAAAACACAGCGCTGCCCCAGCTCGTAAGAGGGAGAAAAATGACTGCTACTGCTGAACCCAGGACACATACATGAAGAACAACCGCTTTAAGAGACTACCTGGGGATTGGTCCAAGTTGCATTACTGCCATTGAATGTGGGTTTATTTCATACTGTTTGCTAAATGGAGAGTAACTTTAATGGCAACATGTTTTACATGCTTTTTATCGGTCTGCTAACACAAGAGTGAAATTATCATTCAGAAGACAACTGTTTAAAAGTGGTTTGTGAAATGAAAATTCATGTTTTGTACTGCAGTCTGGGTGCGAATACATCTCAGCTTCTGCAAAGTGAATTTACCACTTCGGCTTAAGCTGATCTCAGAGTATTCATGGTATCATTTGTATAGATCTTACCTTGATGTGTGAAAGCATAATAGTATAAATATTAACAGCTGGCAATTCTGAGAAGCCTTATAACAACCTTAATTGTGTGTGAAGTATATTTAAAAATACAAATACTATTAGCCTTATATGCTCAACTGTAGTGCAAAGATAGTTAAACTCTTATCTTATTCAAGTTTACTTGGAAAAAAATAATGAATGACAGTTCCTAGACAAGATGAAGATTATACTGTCTGCATATAAAGAAAAGAGTTGGGGGATGTATGGAAGTACGGAGGCGAATATAAAAGGAAATTTCTAGATCTGAGTTAGTCCTCTGCTGTCTCAGTTATAAACTGTTGATAGTCTAATAAAAAGAAATTTGTTGTTGCATCATGTTGTGATGTTCTTGCAGAAGTCTTTTATATGGGAAGTTGTTGTCTGATGGAATGAAGGTGGATTTAATACTTGCTTGCTTCTTCATGTCTCTTCACAGGTCACTTATTTCTGAAAGGAACAGAGTCAGTGTAACTACACTTTTCTCATTGAGTGCCATACCAGCTGTTGCAAGTAATGCTGAACAAATATATTTTCCTGGTTACTCCGCCTGCACTTTTATCTGTGGTTAAGTTCAAAAGTTTTAAGTCAATTTCTTCTTCTGTGTGCATCACACACATCGCAGGACAGACGTGTTTCTATAATTAATCTTCACAAGTCCTTTAGGACATTACTAACTTTTGAATGTTGGCTAGATTTTAAGCTGACTGCCTTTTCAATAGATGCTCAGAACAGTGACTGCTTTTTATTGCCTCAACACACCATTTTGGGATAACACATGAGCTAGTCTGGAACATTTTATGTAGGGTTACTACTACTTCCCATGAGTCAGTGCTGTAAATGGCAATCATGTCTGCAAAGAACACAGCATCATTCATGTCCCTTGTTGCTCCCATGGCTAGAAGTGTTACATTTAGGGAGTGTTATGTTAATCCTAAGAATCATATGGACTATAGAAATGATGGAAAAGTTGCTAGTAAATCACAAAAGACTGAATAATTTATTTTTTTCTATGTTTGGAGCATATGAGTAAACCCCAAACTTTTCTCACTTCACAAAGTGAGAAATCACATCCTATTCCAGCAGTAACTCAGGAGCATGTTAGCCATCAAAGCTAGGTTTAAAGTAACATGTTCAGCTAAGTTTATATTCAAACTGACTGAGCAGCTATATAGATTGTTACTGTATGTTTTCAATAAATTTGAAATTGGGAAAGGCATTCCAGAAGACATGATGAATTTAAGAGTACTGGCATTAAAATGAGTAAGTAGGACAATCCAGATGATTATTGGCTAGCATTCATGTAGGAAAAATATCTGTAACTGAACCCAAGTCTGATCTGTAAGTTACTAAAAGAAATCAATAGAACTAATGTTGGTCAATGTGGCTATACAAAAAGCAGGTCTGACCACAGTTTTATTAAACACCGCATTGATAAAAACATATAGCCTTTAAATAACATTAGTGTTTATGTAATACTTATATTTCTTCCAGACATTTTGACTCAATCCTGCATGATATTGATAGCTGGAAAAGTTTTATAACAGTGTGACCTTCGTACAAAATTTATTGCAAGCAAAACAGGATGGGCAGACAAGGAGTATCCGAAGCTAGCATATGCTCAGGAGGCACTGTCTCCAAATGAACTGATAATTAGAAGGATGATAAGAAATAATTCACTCATGTTAGTAAGACTACTAAATCCTGTTATCACACCACAGACTTACAACATAAACATTGTTCTCTATCTTAGACCTAAGTTAAGCTAAAAGTATTTTAAGCCTATATTTTCCAGGCACTATCTTTCCTTATATAAAGTTCCCCCTTTTCTTTTACCTTTGCAAATTCTTTTGCTATATAACTCCGTTTTACTCAGGAGTTCTGGCAAAGTATTCACCCCTTTCAGCCTGTTGTCCAGCCTTCCCTGCAGGTATTTTACATGGGTGTAAGGAAGCAGCCGGGGTATCATAATGGGGCAGACTGCAACAAGAGCGCAGCAATTACATCACCAAATGTTAATGCGGATTACAAAGGGGTAAGGGTATCGAGTGTCCCCCCAGAAAGTGACTCTTTTGCTGCTATGGATAGGACACAATTGTCCTTGGAACCCTTCTACAGGCTCTTATGAAATACAGGATTGGAAGCATGTGGGACAGCAGTTACAAACTGTACAATTTGATGACCATGATATTAATCCTGATTAATATACTTGGCACATTGTTTTTGCTGCGTTGCACTCTCTTCAGCCGCAGGTAGGGGATGATAATCTTTCACAAATTGACTCAATTACAGTACTCTCAAATCACCCGAAACCTGTGGGAGAAAATGTTTTAATTGCACTTGATAACGCTGAAATGGCTGAGACAAATGAAACTCCAGAACACATTTATGAGGAGCCTGTGCACATTCATCAGACTGCTGTTGCTGCTCCTGCGGTTCTGACGCCTGATAATTCTGATGCTGACCTGGATAGTCCTTTTGACCCGGGGCCTATGGATCCGGAAAAGGAGCCTGATTTATATCCCCCAGATCCTCATGATAATTGGCCAGCTGTAAAGGGAGAAGCAAGATGGGTGGGGATGCAGATGTATTGCGTGCTTTCATGGTAGTGTATGTGCCAGATCAAGACCTGCGGTGGGAAGGTCTCTCGTATGCTCTTATCAAAGATATCAGGTGAACGGTGATGGACCATGGACTTGGAGCTCCATATACAACTCATTTGATACAGTCTCTCTGTGATACTCTTGTACCAGAAGTTGGCAAATACAAATATGTCCACGTTTCTATTGACCCTTGGAGACCTTTCTAGATATTTCTGGCCACTTCTTCCGACGTAGGCTGGCCCTCTGTGTCAGAATGAGTGTGCATTTTGGTCAGTATAAAAGCCCGAGCTTCATGCGATATGGGCGGGAGAACCTCATACCACCCAGGTCAACATTGCCTCCGCGGGGGTGTCCGCTAAGGTTGAGCCTGCCCCCTTACACTGTGATGATGCTTCTTGGAGCTGGCTTCCTGATCATCTTCACAGGGTCTGTACGTGGGGCCATGTAGTGGGAGTAATGATTGTCTGGATTTTGTGTTTCAAATATTGTAGTTGTGTGGAGTGTATTGGGGCAGTTTGTAGAGACACCACAAACAAAGCTTAAAGAGTGTCTGCAACATGCTGGGCGCATGGTAGTAGCCTTGCTTAGTGTGTTTAAGGTGACCTGGTGGTGAATCCAAGACTTGGAGGAACAGATAGATCGGTTGAAACAAGAACTGCTAACTGAAAAAGTGAGAGGGGTAGCACAACCACAAGCTTTATCAGACGTCACCTAAGCATCATCAGAGTGTCAGAGAAAGAAAAAAAAAAGGGTAATGACACAGCAAACTCCTTGACTGTTAACACTGTGCAGTTTACTTCTGCAGCTGTTTCACATTCCTTTTGCATCAGAATGCTTCTGCTTTAAGGAAACACTTTAACCTCAAGTAGGGTCATCTAAAGCAGGTATTGATTGTGGGTATATAAAACAAAAAAGGGGAGTGCAAGGATTTTCTCCACACGAACAATTAGCAAAAGCACAATTTGTACTAATTTTTTTAAATTTGTCTAGTTTTGATTCTCCTTCCGCAGTACAGCGCTTGCGACGTCTGACAGACGATTCCTTGCCCAAACCACCAGTTCTATATAAAGACTTACACGATAACCAGTGGAAAGGACCAGTGCCCTTGCTGATGTGGGGTCAAGGATACAGCTGTGTACAGCTATTGACAGGACCATATTGGCTGCCAGCAAAACGTATAAAGCCCCAGAACTAACCAACATAAAGAAATGACAATGACAGAAATCTTCGTAATATCTGTTCTATTATGTGTGATCACGGGTAATGGACAAGCACAATGGCACATTTACTAAATAATGAATGTACAACAGGCAATGATCTCAGTTATATGCTGTTTTCTGCTATATAACACTTCTATTACCCATCAGCTAGATGCCCATCTTCAACACTCTGGACTTTGAAAATATTATATGCTGTCATGATTATCATCAGAGAATAAAGTCATGGAAAAGCCCGCAGCAGCAGAACTGTCTTCAGGTCATCATTATCTGACCCTGGCTTCCCTCTGATCATCATCCAAACGAAGCATGAACTTTGATGAAACCAGACGAGCTCAGCAGCGACCAGACGAGTTCAGCAGTTTCATCAGCAGGCAACAATCCAACACTACACACCGTCTCTCCTGCCCTGAAAGACAATTACCGGAGATGGAGGCTGACATCATGGACTGAATCAATTCAGCAATTTATAGAGATTGATGCATGGACTAAGGAATGATATGTCTCCTTTTGTGTATGTGTGTATGTATGTGTATATATATCTCACATATATGAGAGAAAAAGCGATGGTACGTTTTAAAACATGGCATCTGAGCATGACATGAATGGTATGGAATAAGGAGTGGATACTGTCCTGGTTTCTGCTGTAGCACTCATTTTCTCCTTCGTGCAGTGCTGCGTTTTTGCTATAGCCTGAGGAGAACGCTGATAGCACATGGATATTTTTAGTTGTTGCTCATTAATGTTTACTCTGATCAAGGACTTTTTCAGTCTCATGCTCTGCCAGGAAGGAGGGGAAGCTGGGAGGAAGCAGACACAGGACACCTGACCCAAACTAGCCAAAGGGGTATTCCATACCACAGCATGTCATGACCACTATAGAAACTGGGTGGATTCGCCTGGAAGGCCCATATCACTGCTCAGGTCAGGCTGGGTATCAGTCAGCAGGTAGTGAGCAATTGTATTCTCTCCCCTTTTTATTTCCATTATCATTATTATTATTGGTGGTTGCAGTAGTGGTTTGTGTTATACCTTAGTTACTGGACTGTTCTTATCTCAACCCATGGGATTTACATTATTTTGATTCTCCTTCCCATCCCTCCAGGAGCTGGGGTTTTGAGGGCAGGGTGGGGAATAAGGAGGGGAGTGAGCGAGCGTCTAAGTAGTTCTGAACTACCGGCTGGGCTTAAACCACGGCCTTGCTCACATTATGCAGTGCTTTTAGGGTTTGTAGGAATGCTGATTAACCCTTGTAGCCTCTGAATGATCTTGGCAAGAATGTGTTTAACCAAGGAAACCCAACTTATTTCCCTGTCTCTTGGGAGATAAGAGAGGATCCAGAGTTGGATGGCAGCATGGTCAAGGGGTGACTCATCTCATTGCCTCTGAGGAGGAAATGAGATAAATCAAGCCTTTCTCTTCATGATACTTCCATTTCTTCTGAAGGACAATAGAAGAGAAACCTAAAGTGCAGAAGAAAGGATGTAAAACAAGAAAAAGCAGGGAAAAATTATAGTGTAAGAAAGACTGGCAGAAAGAACTCCCACAAAGCAAAGACATGACTGTGACACAAACCCACCAAATGACCGAGGAAGATTCACAGAGACAACTCTTGGGAGATGTATTTGCTCTTGTGTCTATACTAAAGCACAAGGCTCCTTAAAAAAAGAGAGAGATGACTCACGTTTCAAATCTCTCTTGCAATAATCTCAGGATTCAGCATTGATGCTTTTATTTTTATTGAAAAAATGCAAGAGGCAGGTTGATGAAGTTTTGTTTTTCTCAGTTTTTGAATATCTGAAATCATAACTGTTCTGGAGTATCTGAGTTTTAGTGTGAGGTGTCCCTGCTCATGGCAGGGGGGTTGTAACTAGATGATCTTAAGGTCCTTTCCAACACTAACTATTCTATGATTCTATGATTCTATGATTCTGTTTGTGCAAACCCCTTACAGAATCACAGAATGGTTGAGGTTGGAAGGGACCACGGGCAGTCATCTAGTCCATCCTCTCTGATTAAGCAGCATCACCTAGAGCACATTACTGCACATTACTCAGGTTTGTGTCCAGACAGCGACTGAATAACTTCAGGGAAGGAGAATCCACAGCCTCTCTGAGCAACCTATTCCAATAGTCACAGTAAAGAAATTCTTCCTCATGTTTAGGTGGAACTTCCTGTGTTTTAGTTTATGCCAGTTGCCTCTCATCCTATCACCTGGCACCACTGAGAAGAGTCTGGCCTCATCCTCTTGACACCCTCCCTTCAACATTTTGGGGTGCTGTGATAGAACATGAACCATGCTTTATTTTACTTTAGTCTTTGCAGAGATCCAAAGTAGTGTGACTGTATGGATGTTAGCAACAAGAAGCAAGGACAGGCAGACTGGGAAGAATACAGGGATGTTGTCCGGAAAGTTAGGGACCAGGTTAGGAAAGCTAAGGCCCAGTTAGAATTAAATTTGGCAAGGGATGTGAAAGATAACAGGAAGGGGTTCTATAGATGCATAGCAAATAAAAGACAGACTAGGGACAATGTGGGCCCAATCCAGGAGCTATCAGGAGAACTGGCTACCCTGTATTTGGAGAAGGCTGAGGATCTTAATGACTTCTTTGCCTCAGTCTTCACTGGCAAATGCTCTGACCACACCACCCAAGTCTTGGAAGGCAGATGCAGGGACTGTGAGAATGAAGACCTTAGGCCCACTGTAGGAGAGGATCACTTAGAGACCTGTGGGAACTGCAAGCAGTCCTCTTCCCGTTATGTGGATAATTAAAGAAGAAGAACTGCAGATAGTGCACCTGGGTCTTGAGCAAGCCAGGGAGTATCTGTGTGCATGGGTGCAAGGTCAGGCAGGGAAACAGCCTGAGGAGTAATTGTTTATAGAATGGATTTTATAGTAACTGAAAACAGTCATTAGGAATTATGTGGTTTCTGTTTGGTTTCATAGTACAGACTCAAATCTGTATGCTATATATTGCCATGCTGGAGTGAATAAAGTAGATCTAGTTGTGAAAGCATTGTGTGTGTGTGTGTGCGTGTGTGTGCTTAGCCTCTTTCTTTACAGACTCCGCAAATGGTGCCCTCCGTGTGTGATCACTAAACTATTCGACATTGTGGTGTCTGCGTGATCCAATGGGGAATTACTGGCACCGACATTTTCCTGTGTCCTGGGTTTAGCAGTAGCAGTCATTTTTTCTCCTTTTTAGTAGCTGGTGCAGCTCTGTGATTTTGACTTTCAGCCTGGGAACAGAACTGATAACACTGATGTTTTTAGTTACTGCTCAAATGTTTAGACTGGCCATAGGACTTTGTGAGTCTCATGTTCTGCCAGGGAGGAGGGGAAGCTGGGAGGAAGCAGAGAGAGGACACCTGACCCAAACTAGCCAAACAGTTATTCCATACCACAGCACATCATGCCCGGGGAGGTAACGGGGAGTTACACAGAAGGGCATGCTCTGCTCGGTCGGGCTCGTTTCAGAGGCTGTTATTGTATTCTCTTCCCTTGTTATTTCTCATATCATAATTATTATTAGTGGTAGCAGTAGTGATTTGTGTTATACCATAGTTACTGGACTGTTCTTACATTCTCCTCCCCATGCCTCCGGGAGCGGGGGTGGGGGGGTGAGGGGGAGAGGGGGAGTATGGACTGTGTGGCTGAGTTGTCGACAGGCTTTAAACCATGTTAAAGGTCATTAATATCTGTTGGAGAATTATGGGATTGCATTAGAAAAACGAGACAAGTAGAATCAGCCAAACAAATTATTTTTGAAAGATTTACATCAAATTTTAAAATTCTCTGGATATCATTTGTCTGAGAAGTGATTCGGAGAAAACTCTGGGAACATACTCGCCAACAAAGTTTTAAAGTTGACAAGCAGGTATTCTTAATTCCGGCGCCGGGAGACACGGGGGATAGCTCCACCTAGCGTATGTCTCCCCTGTTGCCACACAAGCCGTCCTTTTATAGCCACTGGGCATACATACATACATACATCATTTTCCAGAAAGTTCCCCGCATGAGTACAGAACTGTGGTGGTGGTCTCTGAGGGTCTTTTACGTCTTCCAACTATCTTCATCACTTTTG